CGATAAAAACGACGCCGCGTCGGCAAGAACTAATCGTATCTTCTCTTGCATACTTCCACATCACATCACCAAGCACGCGCAGGACTGCGTTCCGTGGCATGCGTATGCGGGTATCAGGGTGCTAAGCAGACGTCCGTTCTCAGGACTACACGGTGCGGTTCTACCTGAAGTCGGGGGCCGATCGGCGCAAGCTTGTGGTGGGCATCCCCACCTACGGCAGGTCCTACACCCTGCTGGACGAGAACTTCAGCGGTCTGCAGGCGGCCGCCGAGAAGGCCGGCACCAAGGGCAAGAGCACCAAGGAGGACGGCTACCTCAGCTTCTACGAGGTGAGGCACTGCGGCAGGTGGGGAGCGTCCCAAGTGCTCTGAGCGCGGCCATCCCTCTGGCCGCGGAGGGCTGGCTTACATGCGCTATAAACATGTGGCTAAGACTGTGGTGGAAAAGCTTTGTTTCACTGCCAGTGTTCCCTGAGTCGCACCGAGCCATGCATGACCGAAGAACAAAACGTGGCACGTATTCTCTTGCGTGTGCATTACGATGGGTAATGTGTTGACGATATTGTCGTTTTTCATTTCACTTTTATTTTTAACAGCATTTGTGTATGTTTGTGTGTTCGGCATTAACGTTCATTCCTGCGCACTGCGTCTACCTGACAAACGCCGAACAAGCTCATGTCAGACAGATGATAGTCCTATAAACTTAATCGTAGGCATGCATGCGTAGTCGACAAGTCCTATAAAGGAGCGCTTTGATAGAAATTATGACAAATCACCACGCGTTATTTAACTATCCACGATATTTAAAGAAACAAATATTCCCGTAGATGAGACAGTTGTAATGGCCTTATTCCTGGGAGAAAGAAGGGAAATCGAGATATAACAAATACTCCGCATGGTTTGCATGAGTGACTTCAGGCGCAGAGCACCTGTCAGACATGGCCCGCCGCGTTTATCCAGAACCCACCACCAAGCTGTGTCGTCCAGTTCACCGGATTATTCTACCTCCGCCCTTTCGTCGGATGGAATTGTGGATTGTTTTACGCTCTGCACAATGCTGCCGCATGTCCCCCCCCCCCCCTCACCCACCCCCACACGTATTTCAAATTGTACCCGAAGTGCGTTGACGCTGAGACGAGCATGCGGACCTGTGCGGTATGGAGCGCACGCATACACAAATGAATAACGCTGGCGTCTGGTGGTTGTGCAGATCTGTGAGCACGTGGCGGTGGATGAGTGGAAGGTGTTCCGGCCCTACCCCGACGCCATGGGCCCGTACGCCACCAGCGGCAAGCAGTGGGTTGGCTACGACGACGAGTTCATCGCCAGGAAGAAGGTGAGTCGCTGGTGCGGTGACTTATCTATCGAGAAAAGTGAGGTAACTACAATACTGCGATGACTAATTCAACACAAAAAGGATGTAAATCCACGGATGGGGTGGCGAATTAGCCATAAAAAGTAAGACGTTTGTTTTAATAATGAACGATGTCAGCAGTGGGTTTGAAGTGTGGCAAGGCATGAGGTCCAGTGCTATGCTCACTGTTAAAAGGGCTGTTATCGGGTGTGATGTTGAGTTATTAGTAAACTTTGGTAAGCTAATAAGTCCACTACCCAAAAAAAGAGTTGGCATGAGAGATACCGTTTTGGTGTCGTCGAACCTATTTCAAACTTGAGTCTCCTTGCTTGGCCGACCTAAGTGATTTTTCTGGCTGAAGGTACTGAAAAATACCATCTTTTGGCATCCCATCTTGAGCCTCGTACGTTCCACTGACGGAACATAGTCATCTCGGCAGCACCATGTTCTTTCCCTGCCTATCTGACCATCTTTGGCGTCCCACAGACAAAACACGTGTAAGATAATCATCCTGACAACAGGTTCCATCCCCACCTGTGTTCCGACACCACACCCTTGGTCGTCCTCAGGCAGAATATGTGCGTGACAACCGTCTGGGCGGCATCATGTTCTGGTCGATCGACAACGACGACTTCCGCGGCCGCTGCTCTGGCAAGCCGTACCCCCTCATCGAGGCGGCTAAGGAGGCGTTCCTAGCCCCGGCTCCAGGGTAAGCACTCCCGCGTATCCACCCGTACAATCCGGATCAAAAGGGCCCGAATTTCACTGGCGGCAATTAAAGCTGGTTTTGATTGCTACTTGGCTTATGCGCTGACTATTAACGCCTACATATAAGTCCGGTAGGTTGATTAAGAGTGTTTTTTTAAAATATTATATGCAGTGAAGCTGCAATCTTGACAGAAAAGTACTCGTTACTTGGTCTCCGTTCCTTCAGGAAACACCTCGGTCTTTTTGTAATGGTTCAGTGGTCAGCGATTCGATGCACGAGTATATTGTGCTGTTAACTTAGCATTATAACAGCGAACATACGACTTTAACATTCCGCCAAATGCGCTTAGCTTCATGTTTTTCCCGACCCCATCCGTAAATGTTTTCTTATTGATGGTGGTCTTCGACAGCGAGTGATCGGAATTAGGAAGGGCATGGCCGGATGCGCATAGACTTCCCTCCGTCGCCAGTGATTGCTCTGCGCTGTCCTTCTGCGGACGTAAACCCAAGTGTATGGACGCAGTGGGCCCGGGGCATCTGACCTCCATAGGGACGCAGTGGGACCGGGGCACGTGGCTTCCATACGGACGCAGTGGGCCCGGGGCATCTGACTTCCGTACGGACGCAGTGGGACCGGGGCATCTGACTTCCATACGGACGCAGTGGCACCGGGGCATCTGAATTCTTCTGACACAGTCATCTGGCTGCAGGGAATCACCTGACTTCTTAGGCATGGCGCTTAGGAATGAAACCCCTTAAGTCACAAATGAAGATTCAAAGCATTCTCATCCAAAAGCATCGCATGGTTTTGGAGGAAGCTCACAGTCCGACCACACATATTAAATGTCACGGTTGCCTTGTTCAGAAGTTTGAGCATTGAACACAGAAGACGCAACGCGTGTAGGACTGTCCTGATGGTGGGGCAATTGCAATGCTATCTTTTTTACAGTCCAACACGTGCTGTTTTAACTCAAGCCACCAGCAAGCTCCTATTGGGTCTCCGTTTGCGATTTTAGTACCAGTGTCCGTGTGTGGCATTGGTCAAATCTTTGCATGCCGATGTATGTTTTTGTGCTTAGTGGTTGTTCCAGGGTCACGAACATTTGTCACTCATGATGCCAAACATGATACTTGTCACGCACGACAGACATGCAGCCAAACCTGACGCACGGCATGAACGATAGCATTTTGGTGAAGTCAGCCCGCGAGTTTTTTCTTCTTCGCGTGAGGTGCACAGTGACCTGCTGAAGTGTCCGTAGACTGACCTGAGTACCCTGTCGTTGTAGGGACCTGCCGAAGCAAGCGAAGGGACCGACGCCTCCCCCGCCGGCGACGCCGGACCCCGGAGCAGGTGACGAACGCACTGCGTTTCTAGCGCTGCCATTGGCTCGCCGAACGGTAGCTTGTGACGTCATGACGCAAAACAGTCGTGGCCATGGCGTCAACACATTAGCCGGGCAAGACGCCCGGACAGATGGTTTGTGTTTCCTCGCTCTTAACGACGGGCATACCCACGAAACCAGCAACCGTGAAAGTCACTTTCGTCCTAAAATCGTCTCAATTATTGCTGCATGATAGGAATAATATTAAACACACCCCACGTCAGATATGCCGCCGCTGGGTCAGAATAATCTCGTCGGACGCCACCCACAGCATTTCTCGGTCTTGATTTGACCGAGCCGTGCCTTACGCCCCGGCAGGCTTCAACTGCAAGCGGGAGGGCTTCTTCGCCCACCCGGAGGAGTGTAACAAGTACTTCTGGTGTCTGGCCGGCGGCCCCCTTGGCATCGTGCCGCACAGCTTCACCTGCCCGTCCGGCCTGCTCTTCAACAGGCAGACCGACTCCTGTGACTTCCCCAGGAACGTCAAGTGCAAGGTCTGTGCCGCAGTTGGGTTGCAGGCACCGGTGGCAAGGGCGTCACCAAGGGGGCGGGTGAGAGGGCGTCATCATGGGGACGGTTGGGAGGGGCGTCATCGCAGGGGTGGGCGAGAGGGGTGTCATTATGGGGTGGGTTTTGCGAAGGAGTAGCGTCTATGGGTGTAATGGAAGAAGGTCAGCCAACGATAAAGACATTGGTTATGTTATATGTTGTTCTTCCGCATTTGGCTGTGCGTTAATTTCTCAAAAGAGCTTGTTGCTGGCCGATCGCAATTGTGGTGTTCAATTAATTCGTTAACTTCAATTATGGACAACGCTCGACCTTTTAGGCCTGGCTAGTCGTCCGAGGGTGATGTTGGTAACAGCAGGTCGTAAGCACACCCACAAGCCTAGTTCGTACCCGCTGGAGCTGGATTTCGAGCTAGACGTTTAAGGTACGTCAGAAGTTCCACAGCACAAACCTACACCGCAGTCAGCGTCCCGCAGCCGTGGCATTCCCACCCCTGTCCACAGATCGTGGCTAAAGAGGTCCAGTCGATCACGTTCCCGCCGACCAAGGAGCCGACCGTGCTGCCGGCGGAGCCGGAGGGCAACATCGGCGAGGTCACGCCCGATCCGTTCGAGCAGTTCTATGAGGACTACGACACGGCTGACCTGCCACCGCTCGACCTTGACCTGCCGGCTCGGCCGAAGAGGCCGGACACGAGCATAAGCGCCGCCGAGGAGAGGCCCGAACCGGAGGTGGGTCTTGAGAGCTTACTGCGCGTCACTGCTGGTCGCTGACGATCACTAAAGGTCAGTGATTACTACGTGTTAAGACCGATTTGGCCGCTGCTGCTGCCAACCGACATTAGGTTATCAATGAAGGTCGTTGTTGGTCATTAAGGGTTAATGTTACGTGACGGAATGGGCTCAACCGGGAAAGGTGCATTCTGAAGGAAGTTCACGGTGGTCCGCTGGGAGGTATGGAGGTCGCTGAAGGTCACATGGGGTTGTCTCTTGAAGGTCTTGGGGGGCATTAAAGGTAACTCGTCGAGCTCGGCGAAAATGCAGGTCGAACATGGCGAAGGTGGTCAGACCGCACATGCCTGTGATAGGGGAACACTGAGCACGACCATAGACCGCTGAGGGTTATTTTACGCCACTTAAAAGATTACCAGATGTCAGAAAGCTGGCATGTAAAGTCGGTAGTGACCCCGGGCTGGTCAACGTCGTGCTGTGTAACAGAAATCACTGAGTGATAACAAGATTAAGAAGCAATCGCCAATGGCTAACGAAAATTATGTACAGACTACGCAGATTGTGGCATTGGTTCGGACGGCACAGGCACCTTGTGCGCTTCAGAGGATGGAAGTGGCCGGCTTTGAAGGTCACGTGACCGATATAGAAAGATCATTTACTTTGGACTGAAACGCACGATCAGTTTTAGGAGAACGTGCTGCCCGGATCGCTACACATCAGTAGTTGTGTTGATGGGGGCAGTGGCGGAGCACACATCACCGCACATCTGAGCGGTGGATCACCTTCTGAAAGCTACAGATGGCCCTTGCGATAAGCACCGTGGGCTCACTTTAGTACGTGATTGCATCATTGTTGGTCTCCAGCTGATCAACAACAATTTGAACTCATGTGGCTCCCGGTTTTGCAAGCCCCCATCTATTATACAAATAGATCAGTAAACTTCGGCAGCTTTGGCACAAACTGGTGCTGGTGGAGAAAGAAGCAGGATGCATATCAAAGGGGACCGGCTCGTTAGACAGAAATTAGTGGTTACGGGAAGGTGCCTAGTGATGCGAGCCAGTTCCCGATGTCAGCGGAATATGGTAGAAAGTGATGTGGTACTCGCTTGTTTTCGAGGTCATTGGAGGAAACCATAAGCAGATAGTTAAAAGCATGTTTTTGACACTATTACATTCTCCAGTCTGTTGTTTATTGTAGACGATAAGATGTAGGCAACTTGCAACAGCCGTTTTAAAGCGATCACCTTGAGGCTAGGCGCCGTTTGAGATACGTATGCCGTAAAGCACTCGCTGGATGAAAGAATAACGATTTGGTGTAGCGGCAGGATATCGATGGCGTGGCTCGTGGGTTATTTTCCAACGCTTTTCCACCGAGCACTGCATATTGACAGCAGTTCTTACCGTGTGTCTTCCTACTCACCTGCAACTCTTAATGTTGTTTGTGTAATTGACATACCTCTTTCGTGTCATTAATGCCGCTAACGTATTTCACGAATGCTTCAATTCGCATTCTGTGCGTTTCATACGTGGTACGACGCAGCCGCACACTCAAGCTTTCACAAAAACTTAACGTTTCACTCAATGCCAGTGATTGGTTGAAATACACGGAAGTGCTGTCGGCGGTATATGTGGCTGTGTTGAACAGCATACCATATGCTGTTTGTGGCGATAGCGACCCGTGAGCTCTGAAGTAGGGATAAGCTCTCATCCAAGGTCAGAACGCAGGACAGACACACTTCGGCCTCCACGTTCTCGGCACAAGTCATCAGGCATGCATTCGCGTTCCCAGCGTATCCGTCAGATGCGATTTGTCCTATTGCCAGTGTTATCACGTACATGCCTGCGGGTGTAATAGTGCTTTTTATGCCTTAAGGAGAATCATCCTTCTCGATACCCAAGATTGATGCACTGATAGGCCTTCAACATGACATACCGAAGGAGATAGAGTGTTTAGAAGCATAATGAATGCAAATATGCCCTCACATCCTGAGAACTATGTCTAGGTAGTCATGGCCTAAGAATGCCACCATAAATAAAACATGGTAATACATTAGCATGCACAATGCCCGACCGGTTATCGCCTTGAGTTATAAGTATTCATCTCCAGCTCGCAAGCGATATGATCTCAACTTCACCTCACAAAACGCCCGTAGTGGTAGCACTTGCCGGCGTCATGCTTGGTGCCAGGACAATGCCAAATGACGCTCAACTTCCGAGCGGACAGACGAGTGGCGCAGACGGACAAGTAACGCCGCCGTACTGGGCGAGTAACACCGCCGTGTTGGACAAGTGACGCCGCCGTGTTGGTCAAGCGACGCCGTCATACTGGGCGAGTAGCACCGCCGTGTTGGACAAGTGACGCCGCCGTGTTGGACAAGTGACGTCGCCGTGTTGGATAAGTGACGCCGCCGTACCGGGCGAGCGACGCCGCCGCGACGGACGAGTGACGCCGCCGTGTTGGACAAGTGACGCCGCCGTGTTGGACAAGTGACGCCGCCGTGTTGGACAAGTGGTGCCGCCGTGTTGGACAAGTGACGCCGCCGTGTTGGTCCAGTGACGCCGTCATACTGGGCGAGTGTAACACCCGCCGTGTTGGACAAGTGACGTCGCCGTACTCGCGGCGAGGCCGCCGCGACGGACGAGTGACGCCGCCGTCCGCGATCGGAGTAACCCGCCGTGTTGGACAAGTGACGTCGCCGTACTGGGCGAGCGACGCCGCCGCGACGGACGAGTGACGTCGCCGTGGGCGACGACGCCGCCGGAGACGCAGTGACGCGCCTACTGGGCGAGTACACGCCTGACCGCGCCGTACGGCGGCGCGCCGCCGTGACTGACGAGTGACAGACGGTGACGCCGCCGCGTGAGACTACGCTGACAGAGCCGACGCCTTCTGCACACGCTGATCCGCCCCTCGCGTGCAGGTTCTCGGCGGCTCCTGGTGCGCAGGCGCGCAAGCAAGAACCGAGCCGCCTTCGCCGCCTGCCGAAGCCGGACGAGTCGGAACCCAGAGGAGCTTAAGCAGGCTGCTGGCGCTCATTCAACAGCTCGGTCAGTCCAGCAGCGGGCGACGGCCTCGCTGAGTTAAGCCTGTGCCACGGGCGCGAGACATGGGAATGCGTCGCTTGGAGTCATTTCTCACTGCGATTTTTGTAGACGCCCGGTTCGAAGTGTGACCACGATTTATCGCAAACGTGCGATGTCTTGTCTCACAAGTAGCGCTTGTCTGACGTGTAATCGCGGTCGAATGCTGATCGGCAAAACATTGGTCAGGCTAGGAAGCGCGGCAAGGTCGCGGCGATGCATGCTACGTTAACCCTCGCCCTGATGCGGAGTTTTCCTTAGCGCGGACTGATAAAAGGGAGTAGGGGCGATGCGGCCCTGGCCCCTGGCGTTTCCGCACTAGTGAAGATAAAGATTAGTGTAAAACACCAGTAGATTGTTTTCAATGAGCTCTAGCGATTGGTTCTAGTTTTTATATTGCTGGGTTAACAATTATCCCAATTATGTCATGTCAAAGTTCAAATCTTCCAGAAAATTACACCTTTTCAGACGGTAAGGTCTCCACAAACTACCTTAGGGACGGGGGGGGGGGACAGGTGAAGTATGCTCCCGTATCAGGGCGAGTGTGAGATCGTTATCACTTGGAGGAAAGATCAAAAGAGAAACTGTGCGCTATACTGTAATTACTTTTCGGGATGGTGGGGAATTTTCCCTGCGCATGATTTGTTTATTTAGTACGACAATTCCAAAAATCACTCCTTCGGGAAATTTAATTAGATGCATGAAAAAACGACGCCAGTCAGTGAAGTTCTAAGCGTCTTGAATAGCGGTATGTTGGAATGTCATTTGCGGTCGGCTTATCAGATTTCGCACATTGAGCACAAGGGCCACAAATATAAGTTATGGACATAGTTCAGTCCCGAAATCCGAAGAAATCCATGGCTTATTTATATAGAAATCCATGGTTTAGTCCAAATCCACCACCCAGGGGAACTTGCGATATGGAATGTCTTGTGCTACCCTGCATATAAACTCCAGCCTATTGACCGCCGTAGCGCAGACACGCTGGCGCTGCGACGCTTCGCTGTGCGGACAAACCGCGAACTCTGCGGATATCAGATGTGATTGCTGAGCTCACATTCAACATTTTCGCCGCCAACGCTATGAAATGTCCCTTTGGGTGACGACACACCCCTGGACGTGCATGTTCCCTGCGTCCTTTGCTGACATCATCACTCATTGTCGGCAGGCGGCCTGGACGCCGTGCAGAAGCTGCTAGACGGGGGCGGGGCTGACGCGGTGGGCCCAGGGCTGCTGTCGGCGAAGGACCGCCAGACGCTGGTTAAGGTTATCGGTGGTCAGACCACCACCACCGCCCGGCCACGGTGAGTACTGACGTCACGAGCGCTAGTTTTCTGGGCAGGAGGAAGGGCCATCGTTTAATGATCACCGGGTGAGTTGATATGGACTGCGATCGTGCATGTTTTGCATTGCAGGAGGCAGCGCTGGTGAACTGTCACACCTGGATTCTTGTGTTGTTTGTTGGTTTGCAGATTGCCTGGTGATATAACTCATTTCCCGGGTGGTACTGACGCCGAGACGCTCCGTTTTCAGCTACTCTGCGATCGCTCGCGAGCAGCCCTCCGATGGGACAACGCCCGGACCGTCGTCCTCGGACGAGGCGGAGGCTGAGCCTGAGAACAGCCGCCCCCGACTGTCCCTGTCGCGCCGCCCGCGGCCAGAGGTCACGCAAGACGGACCCGAGGGCACTGGGTCAGAGGCCGTCAGCAACACCCGCCGTCGGCCCCAGTACAGCAGCATCCAGAGGAACAGGTGGGTTGGTTTCTGTGGGGCAGCGCGGTCAGGCGCTGAGTGCTAGGATGTTGATGGTTGTATCGCGTACAGCGTTAGGCTTGTGGCTTCGCCGTGGGGCCTTTACAGCAAACTTTGGTCGCTGTGCTGGTGTTTTTAGGGTTCGTGTGGCGCACGCCGTGAAAAAGAAAAATACCGAGTCTGTCACAAGCAGTATCTCGCAAGATTCCACATCTTTTTGAGCTGCATGTCTGCGGACGTTGTGACTTAAAGCCACAAGGCTGAATACGTCGACTGAAGCTGACGAGCTCAACGAATTTCTGCATCTAATTTTCAACGTCAGCATTGACTGATAAGATCTGGCTGAATGTCGAACTCTGATGGACCGAATGCACACAACACATCATCTCGTCCGGACAAGCCATCACTTGACAGGCAGTTTAATCCTATTCACATGTGGCATGCTTGTGAAGGCACTCGTTCACTTCAAGTCCGCGCTAACAATGTGTATCAGCTGATACGGATCTCGAATAGATCAGCCGATAGTCCCCAGTGCAGTCCTCTCCACGGCTATACATATATTTGGTAGCATCGTGCTTCTGCGCTGGTTGTGCACTGCGATGGATAAACGCTGCAGTGAGTTGTTCAGTGCATTAGCGAGGAACATTATTCACATAAATGAGACAGAAGTATAGCGTTATTCCTCGGAGAAAACCAGGAGAATGAAGATGTAGTTGGGTTGATATTTTTGCAATATATCGAAACAATAGCAAAAGGAATTCACTTATGTCATTGTTCTCTCCTCTACTCTCTAATTCTCCTGGTTTTCTCCGAGGAATAAGGCTCATGCTACTGTCTTATCAACGCTGTAGTGAGGACGGCTCTTGTAATGCTGAACTTGGATGCTGTTCTCTTGATCTGGGTTGGAAACGGTGGTATCTTGTAGGGTATCCTTATAAGCTGAAGCGCTCTTCCTCCAGTTCAAAAAATTAAAACGGGAAGAACCGTTCCTTTAATATAGGGAGACAACGAAAAAATTAAGTGGGTGAGTGGGAAACTAGGCAAACATTTCTTGGAAACGGAGACAGCACCGAACTATGCCATGAGAGAGCACATCCACCCATCACAACCACAGCGTCCTGACCCCGATCGCCCCCCCCCCCCCCCCCCCTCAGGCAACCGCAGACAACGCCAGCTGACGACAGTGGCGATGTGACGTCATCCGGCAAGGGGCGGCGGCAGTACGTCACGCTGCGGCGTGGGCGGCCCTCGGCGACGGCTGATGAGGACGGGCAGACCGCGGACGCTGACTTCGGCGGCAGAAGGTGAGGCTGCGGAGATGCGGCGTGGTGGCCAAAACACAAGGCGCCCGCGGGCCGATATCGCCATGCCTCGAAGTGTGTGGTGGCATGGTGTGACGAAACCTTTGGCTGGAAGCCTGAGCGTCGGCATTTAATTCTGTACATCGTAACCCGGAGGCCTTTGGCTGCTGCAGTCTGACCAGGTTCGCTACCTGTCCTTTTTACGATCCGTCAGGCAGCTAAGCGCCACTAGGACAGACCGCTATCCTACCACGAATCTCATTGGCGTGCTCCTCCAGCAATGTGTTGTGTCGGGGCCAAGTGTCAGGCGTGTGACAGTTGTGACGGTTGTTTCAGATATGTCACGCTCAATCGGTCTCGTCCGACGCCTCCCACCAAACCGGAGCCTGACTCCGAGGACCAGTCTGATCCGACAGGGAGCCCCTCGGAGGTCAGTGTGTGTCCTGGTCGGCCGTGCTTTCTAGACGTTAGGCAAAAGCAGCGTTTGTATATAACAGCTAGCTCATGTTAGAAACGGGAGGATAGGGCCGACCAGCTGCGAGAAAGCGATAACATGTGGAATGGCATGTTTTACGTGTGTGCTCTGGCGTTTGTTGTGTGATGTTTGAACGCGCGCATGGGTCTACATCCAGTCGTGTTACTAACGCTTTAAGTGTTCCTAGAGCAACGTGTTTTGGCTCTGCCAGTAGTTGATAGAAAGCTGTTCGAAAAGCGGCCATCAGTCAACCAGCTGAACATTGCTGTCTTAGCTGAGTGGACGTCCTGCTACTGCAGGCTCCCTCCGTAGCTGTCCTAGCCGGGAGCGCTGCCCTAGCGACCCGCCCCGCTGCCCTAGTGGCTGCCCTAACGCGGCACCGCTCTGATACGCGGTGCTCGGTTTCAGGTCAGCACGGGACCTGACGGCGCGGGTCTGCCCGAGCAGAACGAGGCCTCGGCCGGCGCCGGGCGCGACTCCCCTAACGCCGCTAGCGAGGCCTCCAGCAAATTAACCAATGACCCAGCTGGGTTCGAGTCGCTGCTTGACCTTACAGACGAGGCTGCCAACAGCCTGGAACCCGAACCCAAACGCCGGGTCCGCATTCGTCTGCGCCGACCGTTTGACCGCTCTTCAGCGGGCCCCACGGAAGAACCTACGGAGCGACCGACAGAAGAACCCACCGAAGGACCCGAGGAAGGGCTGACCGCGTCCGAAGCGGGACAAGATAGGCCCTCGCGTCGGCAGGATGAGCGGAAGATCCGCGTGATCCGTCTGAAGCGTCCGCGCGACCGCGCTGGGTCGGACCGCAGCTCAGGCGAGTCCGAGAGCTCCCCCACACCCCCGCCGGAGCTGCGCGACAACGAGGTCACAATTGACAACCTGGAGCAGACCAGCGAGGCCGAGCCTGCCGGGTATGGAGTCCTCACCACAGTCCGCACGCCGCTGTTTGAGTCAGCCCTGCAGGGGGCGCGCGAGGGGGAGCCCACGGCCGCGCCCAAGCAAGCCGTGGACGCCATCGAGACCGACCGGCGAAGAATCGAGTCGAGCGTCAGGACGTCGGCGCTGTTCGACAACGATCTGCCTCAGGCGGTGAGTGCGCGCGGGCCGGCGGCGACTGGCCGTCGCGCCCCCCTACGCCGTGGAGGGTCCGACTTCAGACTGAGGAACACGCTGAGGCGACTGGACAGCTCGCGGCGGCGGACTGGACAGGAGACCACGGATGAGCGGCCGGAGCTCGGCGGATCGCTGCGCAGCCGAGTCAGGAGCGGTCTGCGGCGCCAGGGCGAGGAGCCCGCTCCTGATGAAGCGCGGGAGGCGGTCGAGGAGCCGCTGGATGTGACCACGGAGTCTGCGCTCGAGGAGACGACGACGCAGCGCGGCCTGCGCAGGATTGCGCTTCGGGGCCGCGACAGGCTGTCGGCGCTGCGGGGAAGATCCAGGGACGGTGGCCGGAGACGGCTGGCCGAGCTGGTGTCGGAGTCGGCCACAGAATCGCCCGAGTTTACTGCGGACGCCGTCACTGATGTGGAAGCTGAGGCGACGGAGAGTGTGCCTGAGGAGGTCACTGAAGACCCTGCAGGAATTGCGGCTATCTTGGGCAGCGCACCCGTCACGGAGCTACCAGTTTCGGCCACCACAACAGCGTCTTCAGAGTTGCTAGAGACAACGACGGACGGGCTCGAGACAACAACCGCTCTGCCCGATCTCGGCGAAGTATCAACGACAGAAGCGACTCCTGACGCAGATAGCTCTCCAATTCGCAGCCAGATCCTCCAGGAGGACCCCCTTCCGGAAGAGAAAGAGGAAGCTGCAGAGGCAGTCGAGCGGCCCGGCCGAAGGGGCCTTTTCCGACGTGTGCGCCCGGTGGAGACTGAAACTGCCTTGGGCACGGCAGCCGATGGCTCTGATGTCGAGGAGGACGGTCGCGAAAGACAATTCCGGCGTCTGCGCCCTGTCGGCGGCCGGAACGTTCTCCGCTTGAGGCGTCCAGGCCGTCCGAGTGAGCCCGTCACGGAACTGCCTCCTACAGTCGCCACAACAGCCTCTGCCGAATCGCTAGAGACAACGACTGACGGACTCGTGATCGAGAGCACGACCATTCTGCCAGATCTCGGCGAATTGTCGACGACAGAACAGGTTCCTGACACGGACAGCCCTCCCGTTCCTAGCCAGGTCCTCCAGGAAGACCTCCAAGAGGAACCGCTGCCAGTAGAGGAGGAGGATGCCGCAAAGGCAGTCCAGCGGCCTGGTCGGAGGGGCCTATTCCGGCGTCTGCGTCCGGCGGAGACAGAAACTGCCCTGGGCACAGCAGCCGATGGCTCTGATGTCGAGGAAGACGGTCGTGAAAGACAGTTCCGGCGACTGCGACCTGTCGGCGGCCGGAACGTTCTCCGCTTAAGGCGTCCAGGCCGTCCGAGTGAGCCTGTTACGGAGCTACCCACTACGGTCGCCACAACAGTCTCTTCAGAACTCCAAGAGACAACGACAATTGGACTCGAAAGCACAACCGCTCTGCCCGATCTTGACGAGGTGCCGACGACAGAACAGACCCCTGATACAGACAGCTCTACGGTTCGTGGCCAGGTCCTCCAGCAAGACCCCGAGGAGGATCCCCTGCCAGAAGAGGAGGAGACTGCAAAGCCAGCCAGACCGCCCGGCCGAAGGGGTCTGTTCCGGCGTGTACGTCCGGCGGAAGCCGACATTGCCTTAGACACGGCAGTCGATGGCTCTGATGTCGAGGAGGACGGTCGCGAAAGACAGTTCCGGCGGCTGCGCCCCGTCGGCGGCCGGAACGTTCTCCGCTTGAGACGTCCAGGCCGTCCGAGTGAGCCCGCCACGGAACTGCCCCCAACGGTCGCTACAACGCCTTCAGATTTGCTGGAAACGACGACAGATCTACTCGAGACAACAACTGCTCCGTCCGATCTCGGCGAAGTGTCAACGACAGAACAGGCTCCTGACACAGACGGCTCTCCGATTCGTAGCCAGGTCCTCCAGGAGGATCCTCTGCCTGCAGAGAAAGAGGAAGCTGCAAAGGCAGTCGAGCGGCCCGGCCGAAGGGGCCTTTTCCGACGTGTGCGCCCGGTGGAGACTGAAACTACCTTGGGCACGGCAGCCGATGGCTCTGATGTTGAGGAGGATGATCGCGAAAGACAGTTCCGGCGTCTGCGACCTGTCGGCGACCGGAACGTTCTCCGCTTGAGGCGTCCAGGCCGCCGACCACCGCTCCTCCGTCGTGGGCGACCCGTCCAGGAGGTCACCGCTACGACCGAGGCACCTTCTCCCACGCTTCAGACTGCAGACGAGGTGGCGAACACCACAGAGTCGACCCTGGGTCTGTTCCCTGAGGAAACCACGCAACAGGGCGCAACAGCTGGACCAGATGAGTACGCGTCTACAACTGAATTCCCGTCCTTAGCTGACGAGGGGGAAACCACGACTGTCGTTTCTCTGGTGGAAGACACCACCGCCAGCACTGAAGACATCACCACAGAGGATTCCTTCACGACTCCAGTCGAACTCGATGCCACTACCACCGAGCAACCACAAGACGATCCTTCTCCGTTGGACATTTTCGGAAGCCTGGGCTTGGATGGCAAGGCTGATCGCGGAAGTGTCGAAGAGAACGCTGGAACTGACGGTGCACGTAACGGGACCAATACTACGCCTCAGGCGTCCGTCGAGGATCTTTTCCGCAATGTGTTTGGCAATGTGAATCCCTCCGGAGAAGAAGCGGGCGCATTCAGCACCACACCACGATCGGCCGCCGTCAACGACATTTTCCGCCAAGTGTTCGCAAATGAAGCGCCTGACACCACTCCGACAGAACCGGATGCTAGACCGGGCAGAAGACCACCGCCAAGAGGGCTCTTCCGTCTGCAGCGTCCCACGTCTGTCCCCGCCTCCACCACAGGCGAGACGGACGATGTTCCCAGTGTGGCCCGCCCATCTCTGCGACAAGGCCTTCGCTCTCGACTGCGTGCAGACGCGGGCACATCGTCCACAGACGAGGAGAACTTACCAGTGCGGGATCGCCTGGCTGCCCTCAGGGCCGGACGATTGAGTCGAGTGCGGCCCAGTCCGCAGGATGAGGTCGCTGCTGAGCCAGAGAGTGAACTGGAGGACAAGACTCCAGCCAGGGAGGGTTTGTTCCGCCGCCTGCGCCCAGCAGGCGGCCAGGAAGCAGCCAGGGAGCAGGAGACCGTCTCGGGGGAGAAGAAGCCCTCGCGCGTGCGAGGCGGACTCTTCCAGCGGCGCCGACCCTCAGCCGTTCTTGGGGACCGTTCTGAAACCGCTGACGCAGACCAGAAACCATCCATAGACGAGCTTTTCCAGAGTGTGTTCGCCAACGGAGCTGTTAGACAAAAGGTTGACTCCGTTGGAAACGTGGAAGCGACAGGTACTCCTGCGAGTGGTGAGGTCGTTACCGAATCGTCTGCCCTGGAAGAGACCACTGATACGGTCGATGACGTGAGCACCACCGTCAGATCTCAGGACACAACTGAGGCCTCAGAACTTGAGAACACTACGCCCGGAAACCCGGAAGTCACAGATAATCCTACGGAGGCAAACACTGACGTCCCAACGACAGAAGGGGTGCCCAACGCAGCTACTACAGAGGCGGTGGAAACTGACCCTGCTTCAACAAGCCGGGGCCTCTTCAGTCGACCTGGCTTAAGACGAAGCGAACCTTCGGCGTCTGAAAACGGAGCCCTGACGGCAAGCAGCGACAGACTAGCGCGCCTGAGAGCCACCCTGAGGAGGCCGACTGTCAAGGCACCGAGTGACGAAGAGCCCACTACTGGGGACGAAAGCGAATCCACAGCCGATGCACCGCTACGACGCCTGCGACAGGGCCTTCTTGGCCGCATACGCGATCGACCCGATCCCTTGGCCTCCGGTAGACGTCGTCCCAGTCCGCTCACGCTGGGCCGCCGCCCCCTGGTGCGACCATCAGACGTAAAAGCAGATTCGCCCGCAGGTGAACTCGACAATTCCACTGAGATTGCCGAATCGACCACAAATGCTCCTTCCATTGGGACATCTCCGCGTACCACGTCGGAAGCCGGAACGGCTGACGGCGTCCAAGAGGCCAAAACAGAGACATCAGTGCATTCGACAGATCCGTCCTCTCTTGCCACCACCGAGGCAGCGACGCCAGCAGAAGAGAACGCTACCGACGAACCTTCTCAACAGGAGACGAATGGTGACGCTGCGCAGCCGAGACTTCGCTTCCTTCAGCAGCTTGGTTCCCCCCGCAAACGTCCCTTCCCCTTCCGACCCTCATCCAGCCGTCGGAATTCCCTCGGAAGCCGACTTCGGGATCGTCTGTCGGTCACTGCTAGTCTGTCTGGGTCGACCACCTCCGACTCACCGGTGAATGATGAGGAGCCTAAAGTCAATGCTGCCGAAGAGCAGACTTCGACGGACGCTGAGACGACGGAGAGGTCGCCAACGCCTAGGACTCGCCGACCTTCCTCTCTTCTGTTCCCTGGTCGAGGTGGTTCTGATGCGACGGGTGCTAGTGAGGAGACGAATGATGATACTCCCGTTGGCGGAGACGTGGTGGCGGCACCTCCAAGACGATCGCTGTTCCAGCCATCCAGGAGACCACCACCTCGAGGAGGTCTGGGCAGTCGTCTCAGAGACAGACTTAACAGACCAGGGCGGGTCTCGGACACGGTCGAGGATGCCTCTGCTGACGGTACGGAATCAACGTCAAGTGACACCACCACCACAGAGAGAAGCGTGACACCAAGATCCCGTCGTCCACCTTCTCTGCTGTTCCGTAATCGCGAGCGGGACTCCACCACTGCAGAAGCAGCTGAGGACAATACCGAACCCTCCCAAGACAGTGAAGCGACGACAGTGTCGTCGTTATCCGGCCTGTTTCAGCGGTCTCGCAGGCCGGCTGTCGGCGGAAGCCTTGGCAGTCGCCTGAGAGATAGACTTGCCAGCCTGGGTGGTCGCGGCAGATCCACTTCTAGTCCGTCAGCGCAGGAAGTACTGGATGAGGGATCTAAGAATGACGATGACATCCCTGCTATTAAAGCTTCGCCTACTACGAGCCCTCGGAAGCGCATACCCACTCTTTTAGCCGGTCTCAGGGAGGCTCAAGAAACGCCCAGCAAGGACCAGGAAGACTCACCTGGGGACTCGCCTACAACGAGTTCTCGGGAGCGCATATCCGCTCTTTTCGCCGGTCTCAGACGGGCTGAAGAAACACCCAGCAAGGAACAGGAAGACTCGCCTGGGGACTCGCCTGCTACGAGTTCTCGGGAGCGCGTATCCTCTCTTTTTGCCGGTCTCAGACAGGCTCAAGAAACACCCAGCAAGGAACAGGAAGACTCGCCTGTGGACTCCCCAAATGAGGATGCAACTACAGAACAGCCGACTTCAAGTTTGTTCCGGCTATCGAGACGGCCAGTGTTGCGTAACAGCCTTGGAAGCCGGCTTAGGGACCGTCTGGCGAGCGGCGGCAACTTAAATGACAGATTGTCTGCCTCCGGGTCGGCAGAGGAGGAGGCCAGCGAGGCTGTGAACGTGGAGGCAACCTCTGACAGGGCCTCAGATATTGCCATCCCAACCCGGCGTCCATCCCTGCTGCGGTTTAGCGACCGCGACCAGGAGGCCGAGCCGGCGGAGGGTGCTGAAGTGCCCGGTTCCGTGGATGCGCAGAAGGCGATTGAGGCTCTGACTTCACAGCTACTGCAAACGAATCGTAAACGCCCGCAAGGCAGCCTCAGAAGTAGGCTGAGAGACCGTCTCGCCGCCACTGCTGACACCAGCACAGCCACCATTCTGTCGCAGCAAGCGGCGCAAAGTGTGTCCGGTGACGTGGAAGCTACCACCGAAGCCACCGAAGCGAAGGAAGTTGACATCAGCACACCCTCTGAACGTCCGTCATCTCCGCTGTTCGGCAATCGCGGCAGTCTCAGTGAATCAGAACGAGAACAGCAGAAGCCATCGCTCAACGAATCAACAGAAGAGTCTGTTTTATCTTCAACGGAGTTGACGCCAAGTCTGGTCGACAGGCAGAATCCGACCGAAGAGACCGACAACCCCCTCGAACCAGCTGGAACCAACGCGCCAGAGGCGGAGGCAACCACGACAGCTACCCCGATCCAGACAACCGCGCGTGCTCGGCTCAGCCTGGTGGAGCAGCTGCGACAGAGGCAGCAACAAAAGAAGACCAGCGTGAAAAGCCTGGTGGAGCAGCTGCGCTCCTCCCTATACGGCAGTGGGGGTAAGCAGGAGACGGTCCAGGAGGAGGAGAAGTCGTCTAGCAGCACAACCGAAGCGGTATACACTGAAGAGGCTGTCACTGAGGCCGGCCCCGGCGAAACAGAGCTCGCTAGCGAAGCTCCCACAGAAGCCACGGACACTTCAGAGACAACTACAGAGAGCAGTATCGAAGTCATCGAAGATGAGCTGAGTCAGACAACGGTCCCTCCGACCGCGGATAGCCTTGGTGTGAACCCTTTCACAGCTCCTAGCACAGTTAGTCCAGTCTCCGCTGAGACCAGACACCCTGGGCTTGAGACTATCGGTACTGAGGTGCCAACCAGCGAAGCAACTACCGAAACATCATTCAGTGCCTTTGGCTTTGCTACAAGTCCCGTGACCGAGGC